GGCAGACCAATCTACATTCCCCCCCCCCACCTACAATCCCTGCCGGTACGAGACTCGAACCCCGCAACCTTTGGGTTACGAGTCAGACTCTCTAACCATTAGGCCACGACTTCAGGAAGCAAATGTATTCTTTAATAAAAAAAATAAAATACCAGAAGATTTTATTGTTTTCAACACATCTAGCAATAAGTGAAGAATGATAAATGAAGCTTGTTATAATGATGAGCAGTTAACTGTGACTGTTGATAAATGAATATTTATATTTAAATCGGGCAACATGCATTTTTTATTTCATATTCATTTTTATTTATTTATTTTTTATTTGGGCTGAACCAGTATAACTAAAAAGCAATGGAACCTGTCGGTACCGATAGTCTAGTGGTTAGCACACTGACATATAGTGCAACTGTATTCCCCACCAATCTACACTGTCCTGTGTAATAAGTAAAAAGCGCAAAAAAAAAAAAAAAGTTGCACTTGCAAATTAGTGAGTTTTACTTTACAGTTACATGATTGCTACTGTAAATGAAAACAGTGAAAATATGGTTATTTCTTCTAAAGTAAGTTACTTGTCACTAGCTGCCAGTTAATTACTGTAGTTCTTTTCTACAGTAAGTTACTTGTCACTTGCTGCCAGTTAATTACTTGAGTTAATTCAGTTTCTTACAGTGTAAGTACATGTAACGTGTAATAAGGACACCTTAAATAAAGTGTTACCTCATTTTCATTTCATTGTAATTAACAGTAATTAAGTGTCCAAAAACCATACATTCAGTTTGCACTTAAGTATATTATTTCCATGTTAAGTACTCTTTTTAAAAGTATGCTAAAGTTTTTCACAAGGGTAATAGTGCCAATTATCTCAAAAGTTTACCTATATCCTACATGTTACAAGCTATAACACTTGCTGTACTAAATAAGTGTAACTCAATGTAACATTTTAAAAGGAAAATTGCAGCGTTCTCAAACTTGCAAAGAAAGCAAATGTAGACCTCTCTGGCCTTAATGTCATCCTCTGAGCCCATCTCATCACCGAGTCCAACTTCACACTGCAGAGCTGAATCAAACATGGCTTCATATAATGTGGGAGAAAGCAATCGCGGGACCAGATCAATAGAGTTTTAATCGCATCTCTGCAAGCCTCTTCTCCACTCAGCCACTTTTGTCTTCTGGCTAAATACCTTGTGGCTCTTATTTCGATGTCTTCCAAACCAACTCTCTCCGTCTCTTTCATTCAAGTTTGCCTTCCGCATCTGCTTCCTGTAACATTTTCTTTTTCTTGAGAATGTATAACATCTGTGAAATGGTGTTTAGATATTTTATGACTTCAGTTACAGTCTCCTTGTTTAATTCTATCCTAATCCTAGTCTAAATTTTAATTCAAGTGAGGATAAGAATGTCACCACAGCAACAGGTACTTATTTTAAGCCTAAATCTGTTTGTTGTCCTTTGGTTCAGAATGCCACTTTAAATGCTTTTGTTAAGAAGGTTAATTTCGATGTGGAGCAGTTATTTACTGAAAAGAATAGGACAAGTTACCAATCTAATATATCTAAAAAAAAGAAAACGAGGCTCTAACAAACATGATAAAACATGAGAGAATAGTCATAAAATGAGCTGACAAAGGAGGTGCAATTGTAATTGGGGGGGAAAATAAATATATTGAAGAAGCTAATAGACAATTGGAGAACAGAGAATATAATCAAAGGCTAAAGCCCCGTTCACACCAAGAACGATAACTATAAAGATAACGATATTAGCGTCCACACCATCGAACGATATCGTCTGTTTATTCTAAGCACTCATGCGTCTGCCGCTTTAAATTCTTGAGCTCGTTACAGCAGGATGGATTCTGATTGGCTGTCAGTGTTTTATCTTTCATCAGCTGGGAAAAAAAATTGTTTTGAAAGTGATCACAACGATATCGTTCCTCTGTATCGTAATCATTATAGTTGTGGTGTGAACTATGCTATTCTTTAATATTGAGAACGATTTTTAGAACGATATCTTTATCGTTATCTTTATAGTTATCGTGCTTGGTGTGAACAGGCCTTTACATTTGACCCTACAGATGGATGGATTTCAAAAAATGAATTTGATTTTTTTATGGAACAAAAATCCTCGTTTGGCTTCATTTTATATGCTCCCTAAAATCCATAAGAATTTAGAGAACCCTCCTGGTAGACCAGTGATTAGTGGGAATGGTAGTTTAACTGAACCAGTTTCTAAATTTATTGACTATTTTATCAAACCAATTTGGCCATGATTACCAGCGTATATTCAAGACATTACTGATGTATTGAAAAAGATTCAAGAGTTGAATAACATTGGTGATTCCACTTGTATGGTAACCATGGATGTTGAGTCTTTATATACAAACATTGACCATGCGAATGGATTGTTGGCCTTGGAATATTTTATGAAAAGTAGACCTGAAACTAAGTTACCACCTTCTGAGTTTTTATTAAATTTAACAAAATGGACTCTTAACAACAATATATTTGTCTTTCAGGATAAGATTTTTAAACAAGTAAAAGGATGTGCTATGGGGGCATGTTAGAGTCCTTCCTATGCTGGCTTGTTTTTGGGAAAATGGGAAAAAGATAATGTACTGAACTCTGACTCAAATCCTTACTTACAAAGTACAAAGAAAAATGCGAGCAGAAAATTCTAATAAGGTCTATTTTGTAACAAAATATAGTATGCATGCTGAAAAAAATTCAACAAATTATTCAAAAAAATTGGGTTATTCTACAAAGTTATGAATTGTTGAGAAATATATTTCTAGATCCTCCAATGATTAGTTTTAGAAAATGTACAACCTTACGGGACAAATTAGTACATAGTTATTTACCACCTAGCAGTGTAAGTTCTTGGTTAGGGAATAAACCTAAGGGTTGTTTTACATGTCATCACTGTAACCATTGTGATAATGTGGTACAAGGTAAAACATACGAATAAAGTTTATTCTATTAGACATTTTATTAATTGTCAAACTACCCATGTTATTTATAGACTAGAATGTCCTCAGTGGAAGGTGTTTTATGTTGGAAGAACAAAAAGACGATTACTGGATTGATTGGCTGAACACAAATATGCCATCAGGAGGGGTGATGATGAATATCCTATGGCAAAACACTTTAAATTAATGCATAATAGTAATCCTTCGATCCTTAGAATACAAGGTATTGATCGTATAAACATTACTATTAGGAAAGGCAATAGAGAACTTAAGCTTAATCAAAGAGAGACATTTTGGATTTACAAATTAAAGGCCAATATGTATCCAGGATTAAATGAGGACCTGGATTTTACTTGGAATAATGTAGATGTAGCCTTATGATAATGGATTTAACACTACAAAAACACTACAGATGTATACAGCTGGAAGAGTGTTTTCAAAAAGCTGGATACAATTAGAGAGAGAGAGAGATCGACAGAGACCATTTTGAATTTTAACAACACTTTATTTTGCCTTCAAATGGCAATTAATACAGATATAAAAATGTATATAATAAAATTAATAACACACACATTAAACAAAATTTTCTGAAAAAAACAACATTTCTCCATTAACAGTACACATTTTCCCATTTAGCAAATCTCTTTCTTTAAAGCCTTCAACATTATCCATTAATCTATAGTAATTAAATTCTAAATGTATTCAAGCTCTTATTATACATTTAAAAAAAACAAGAACATCAATATTATTATTTTGTTCCATTTTCCTTTTTCTTGTTGCATAAATTATTAATTTAGCTTGTCCCAACAGAAAATTTAAAATTTTACAAATATTCCTTATTCTTCCCAATTTTCACTCCAAAAATAAAACAAACATCAGAGAACATTTCTCCAAACAAATTAAACAATTCTTTCAAAAGAACAAATAAAGGCAACAATGGTTCACACCTAAGAAAACAATGAAAAATAGTTTCTCTACAATTACAAAAAGGACAGGTATCAGTAATTTCAGAATTTATAATAGACACAAAAGCATTTACCGCAATAATACCGTGCAATATTCTCCACTGAATATCTCCAACCTTTTTGGTCAATGGTGGCTTATAAATTGCTTCCCATACTGGCATTATCTCATCTTTTACTTCCAGATATTTCCTCCATGGTGTATCAATCCTATTTTTTAATTTTCCTTTATTCAATATAGACTTGTGCCGGTATTCGGTAATGCGATATATCACGGTAATGAATATGCACAATATTGTTATCGTGGGCACTTCTAAATACCGTGAATAATTATATATTACAAATTGTTTAGAATGTTGAATGCATTTTAAGAATACTTTTCCCATCAACTGGTCAAAATGCACAACACCGCTGTATGCTGCGTGAAAGACACGTGCGCACTCTGACCTAAACAAGCACGGACGAGAAGCACATGGCGGAACATGTGAGAGACGCTCTGGATGAAAGCGCACTTTCACTCTCTGACAGCAGATGGCGCTAAACTGCAGAAATGATAATAATAACAATATAATAATTCATTTAAATGCAGCCGTTACCCCGGAAACCCTGTAAACAAAGCAGCTGCACTACTTCCTGTTTCTGAATCATGTTTAAATTATTTAAACAGCCATCCAGATTTGTGTATTTGCTATGATGTTCATCACAGCGCCAAATACTTAAATATTTAGACTTAATAGGCTATTTATTTTCAAACTTTTTTTTTACATTTTAATCTGGACTACAACATGCCCTAGATATTGTTTGAAAGTGTTTTGATTCTTTATTGTTCGGTCACACTTTACATTAGGGCTTCATTAGTTAACATTAGTTAATTCATTAGTTAACAAACTGCCAATGAAAAATTCTTCTGAACATTCATTAATCTTAGGTAATTACAATATTTAATAACACGTTGTTAAAATCGAAAGTTGCAACTGTGTTATTTAATGAGCTAACATGAACTAAGACTTGTATTTTTTAAACAAAGATTAATAACTTCTGTAGCAAATGTAGCTATTGCTCATTGTGAATGTTAATGCATTAACTAAGGTTAACTAATGAGGTCTTATTGTAAAGTGATACCTATTGGTCTTTATAGTTCTTTTGCACTTTAATCTGTGTAAAACTTTTAACTTTATACATTTTTCTGTATTGCTTTATTGCATTTAAATGTTCAGTTATTTTTGTTATAAGAAAAATGTTATTAAACCTGTTATACTGTATTATGACAGCACTTTTTTAAAACTAAATTTCAATATCGTGATAATACCGCATACCGTGATAAAAGCATTAGCAATTAATCGCAACATGAGAATTTGATACCGGCATATCCCTAAGATCCATAGATTCAAAAATAATTGCTCTGCAGTCAGATACCACGTATTGTCACACAGCAGGTTAAACAGAAAAGAATGTGTAAATGTGATTAAGGAGGAACCGTCATGCAGATACTATCCAAGTGTGAAATGCTTCCAGTCTGTACTGTGAAATAACACCACTGTTGACAGTCGAGCTGCTGTGAAGAATGAGTGGGAAAACGGCATCAAACCACCTCCGTTAAGAGCAGAGATTTCCTGTGAACATTACTGTGGATGAAAAACAATGCATTCATATAGGCATATTTAAGTTTTCTTTTCTTTCATCATATCGGTCTTTTTATGCTGTCTGGTGACAAAACTTGGGTCATGTGACTGAAACAAGGAGGTCTATCGTTCTTAGAAGAAAGCTAACATTCATCCGTTAGCAATCCCATTCATCTCAATGGACTTGCTCAGCTGGTGCAGGACCTCCCAGAAGTACACAGCCATGGGGGTTTTTTTTTTTGGAGGGGGGGTTCTGATCACCAACACTGTAAATGCAATGCGCCTTACCATTCTGAAGCTTCCCAAATCCTTCATTAGTGACTATCTTGAGCTGTGATGTCAAACCCAGGGAAAAGGGCCAGCTGGAGTACATTTGCTTTTATTCAGACCAACAACTATTGGTTTCATATTGTTCGAATATTTTTACATTAACCGCCTTCTTCAATCATATACTATGGTACGATTTCAAGCAATCAATCTCCCCAGTATTACCATGGGTTTCCATAGTATATTTGTCGGGAAATTGTATGGTTCTCTTTCCAAAATCATGGAAATCAAATATGCTACCATTATTACTGGCATTGCCTAAAGATGTGATCCACCATTTGAAAATAGGTCTGCATAAATCAAATGAATGAACGCCTTGATCATACCAAAGGGAGCCAAAGCTAAATGCTAAATAGTGAGGACAACAATAAGCATTAACTGATAAGGACAACCAGCACAAGAGATTTCCCAGGGGACATTTCACCACCAACACTGTACATAATCTTGCATGTGGAATAAACAAACATCCACAAATGTAATTATGAAAATAATAGTTCTTGGTTAGGGAATAAACCTAAGGGTTGTTTTAAATGTCATCACTGTAACCATTGTGATAATGTGGTACAAGGTAAAACATACGAATAAAGTTTATTCTATTAGACATTTTATTAATTGTCAAACTACCCATGTTATTTATAGACTAGAATGTCCTCAGTGGAAGGTGTTTTATGTTGGAAGAACAAAAAGACGATTACTGGATTGATTGGCTGAACACAAATATGCCATCAGGAGGGGTGATGATGAATATCCTATGGCAAAACACTTTAAATTAATGCATAATAGTAATCCTTCGATCCTTAGAATACAAGGTATTGATCGTATAAACATTACTATTAGGAAAGGCAATAGAGAACTTAAGCTTAATCAAAGAGAGACATTTTGGATTTACAAATTAAAGGCCAATATGTATCCAGGATTAAATGAGGACTTGGATTTTACTTGGAATAATGTAGATGTAGCCTTATGATAATGGATTTAACACTACAAAAACACTACAGATGTATACAGCTGGAAGAGTGTTTTCAAAAAGCTGGATACAATTAGAGAGAGAGAGAGATCGACAGAGACCATTTTGAATTTTAACAACACTTTATTTTGCCTTCAAATGGCAATTAATACAGATATACAAATTTATATAATAAAATTAATAACACATACATTAAACAAAATTTTCAGAAAAAAACAACATTTCTCCATTAATTTTCCCATTTTTCCCATTTAGGCTCCAAATCTCTTTAAAGCCTTCAACATTATCCATTAATCTATAGTATAAATGTATTACATGTATTCTAGCTCTTATTATACATTTAAAAAAACAAGAACATCAATATTATTATTTTGTTCCATTTTCCTTTTTCTTGTTGCATAAATTATAAATTTAGCTTGTCCCAACAGAAAATTTAAAATTTTACAAATATTCCTCTTATTTTTCCCAATTTTCACTCCAAAAATAAAACAAACATCAGAGAACATTTCTCCAAACAAATTAAACAGTTCTTTCAAAAGAACAAACAAAGGCAACAATCGTTCACACCTAAGAAAACAATGAAAAATAGCTTCTCTACAATTACAAAAAGGACACAATAGACACAATAGACACAAATTCTCTACAATAGACACAAAAGCATTTACCGCAATAATACCGTGCCATATTCTCCACTGAATATCTCCAAGCTTTTTGGTCAATGGTGGCTTATAAATTGCTTCCCATACTTCTGTTCAACAAAGGTTCAATGGCTAAAGTGTACAACATGCCCGATAATGAGCAACCTTGTCTTATCCCTCGATTTACCTTAAAAGATGCACTTAAGCCACCATTGACCTTCAGAACACTCTCAATACCTCCATAAAGAGCTTTAACCATATTTAAAAAAACTTTAGAAAAATTAAAAGCCTCCATTGTACTCCATAAATATTTGTGCTCCACTCAATCAAAAGCCTTTTCTTGATCCATCGAAAAAAGGCCAAATTTAAATCCAAACAAGTTAGAAGTATTAAGTAAATCTCTTATAAAAAAATATATTATCAAAAATTGATCTGCCTGGAACACAATAGGACTGATCACTATGTATCACATATTTCATTGCCTTCTTCAACCTATTTGCCAAGGTTTTAGATAAAGCCTTGTAGTCAGCACATAACAAAGCAACAGGTCTCCAGTTTGTTATATCTCTTAAATCCCCTTTTTTTGGTAGCAACGTCAGCACTGCTCTTCTGCAGCTCAACGGGAGCTGCTCTTCAGCAAAACTCCCATTAAAAACTGCTAACAAATCTGACCCCATTATGCTCCAAAAAGTTTTATAAAACTCTATGGGGATTCCGTCAATTCCAGGAGCTTTACCATTGGCCATACTCATCACAGCTGAGTATACTTCAGGCAATGACAATGGTTGTTCAAGTACAGCATTTATTTCAGCTGACACATGTGGAAGACCTTCACAAAAATTATGTGTGACATTCATTTCTTCTTTATATTCAGAGGCATATAATGCTAAATAAAATTCAACAGTTCTCTTCCGTATTTCAGAAGGCTCCGTCAAATCATTTCCATCATCATCCCACAATGAATGAATTAATCTGCTTTGTCCGTTTTTTTTCTCAAGACCAAAAAAAATTTGGTTGGTGCATCCATCTCATTAAAATTCTGAAAACGTGATCTCACTAATGATCCTTGTCCTCTAATTCCAAGCAGCTCTGTTAAAACATCTTTTTTCTTTTGTATAGACTGCATACGGCTTTGATCTTGAGTTGAATCACTTAAAATCTGGAGTTCTATTATATCAGATTCAACATCTTCAATTAATTTAACAATATTTTTTAGAGGCATTACGAGTGTAATTAAAATGCCAGTATGCACTTCTTACTTTAAGGGAATTAATAAAAACCACTCCACATACCAATCCATGATCTGAAAAACTAACTGGAGTGATAGCACATGATTTAAAAATCTGTGAATGATGTTTATAACAATATATTCTATCAATCCTAGCCATAGAAATATAGTTTTCTCTATAATGGGCCCAAGAGTATTGTCTAAAATCTCCATGTTTTTCACGCCATAAAAACACAAATGTTTCCACAATACTTGAAAGTTTATTTCTTGAAGCCATATGTGGTTCAACATGATTTCGATCTAAATTATTGATTGTACAATTAAAATCTCCAGCTAAAAAAAGAAAATCTGAATCACATCCTACCAATGTACTAGCCAATTTTTCTAAAAACAACATTCTTTCTTTTGCAAAAACAGGAGCATATACATTGATCAGAATTATTGTTTTTCTTTCATATTTTGCAGTAACTTTAATTAATCTTCCTGCAATAACGTCATCTACCTCATAAGATAAAGCTGCAAAGGACTTTGAAAAAAAGTGGAGCTAGTGGAGCTTTTATGACTCATTATAACAGTCCCATCCCATTCTCTTTGCCAATCAGTTTCATTTTCTATACATGAGTGGGTTTCTTGTACAAAAGATATATCGATATTTTTTTTATTTGACTAATTCATAAAAAGAAGTTATTTTCTTTACATCACGTGCTCCATTTAAATTTAGTGAGGAAATCTTGAACTCAGCCATAATTAGAAATGTTATGACTACTAAGACAAACCTCACTCCATGACAAACCCATCCATTATTGTGATCCGTCCAATTCATCTTTTTTCATTTGTGTTTTTATCTTTTGTACTAATTTTTTAAGACGATATATTCATTTCAGTCTCAGCAAGACCATCTCCTCCCACAATTTTCATCACCTCAGATTCAATAAAATTAGCTAGATTTGGAAAAAAATCATCAATAACCACATTTCTTTTTCCTTTTGTTACTTGTAAAAAACTACGAAACTGATCCAAATCATACTTCTCCTCCTTTCTTACATTTATAATTGCTTGGGTAGAGATTCCTTTTTCACTATCAGATTCTGATGAATATTCCATCTCACTACTAGTATCAGTTTTATTCATATCCTTCATCTCAGTTTTTTCTTTGACATGACCCTTCTTTGAATTCTTCTCACTCTGTCCACTACTTGTTGCTTTACGCTTTGTAGCTAGCAATTTGAAATTAAGTTCAGTTGTTTCCATTAATTATTGCCCTGAAACAATTTCTTCAACCTCTTTTACCATTTTCTCTCTAGCTTCATTTTCCTTTTCTTGTGCATTAGATTCTACATCATTCTCGGTTCTGCTTTCATTTTGCTCATTTTCAGTCACTTCATTTTCTGTAATTGTATTACTACTCTGAGTTTCTCTCAAGTCTGACTCTTGTTCTCTTTCCTTTTCAGGACAATCTCTAGCCAAATGTCCTTCTCTTTTACAACTGAAACACTTCATTGTTTCAGTTGTAGCAAAGATTGCGTACTCGAACCCATCAATCTTAAACTTGAATGAAACATTCAGCTCATCAACTCCTTGTTTTAACACCATGAATGCTTGTCGTCTAAACGACACAACATGCTTCAACAGCGGTGACTTACATCCTA